AAGTATGGTATTTTTGTACAACGCGTTCTTGAGAACGGCGAGGGAGGGGATAGTGTAGCCAGTAACGGCAACGGCTCTTCTGTGTAAGCTTGTGTAAGTGCGTATGTATACGCTGTGCGATGTATTAGAGGGCCAAAGATTCTCAACCATTTGTTTCTATTTAATATGTGTACCACTACGTGGCAACACCTGAAATGATTGAGACCAACTGAGCGGGACTAACGTCCTTAACTTTCCAAGGAAAGAGCATCGATTCGCTAATTTACTGAATACTGAATTCAGAATCCGATACCATTTGACGTATACTTGAGTTTTCGAGAGTCTAGGACCGTTTCGCGTAGCTTGGAAGGTGGTGGGGGTCGCAGCGAACCCCCTCCACACGGTAAAGCATTGAGAAGTGCAGAACGATCAAAAACTGAACTGTGCCCGGTCCTAGACTCTCGGGAACACGAGTATAGAAAATTCAAGAAAAGCAGAGAAGAATAATAAATAGGGACAAGGACTCTTAAGGCAGAAATTAACCTGGACAAATGACTGCAGAGGAAGCTAAGAGACAAACTAAAAAAATAGCTAATTGGATGGATAATGCGAGATTGCCAAATGCTAAAAGCTGTGAAAATTGAAATGAAAATCAAGAGATAGGAAACAAGATGACAGAGTAGAAAGAGAAACACAAAAGACCTAAAACAGGCATAAGCAAAAGTGTCTCTGAAGAGCATAACTGTCAGAATGCAGTCCCCTCTACTTTCTTTTCCCCCACTCAGGTATAGAACTCGCGAATTTGCAAAACCGATACGAGACGAGGTCTCTCGAGTTCACTCGAGAACTTGAAACAACCGAGAAAAGAGAAGATGAAAGAAAAACTAAAGTGGCTCGTCGCGTTGGAAGTTGCGAGTGATGACTAAACAGTTACCGATCGATTAAAGCTCGCTTACCGATCGAGCTCAGGGATGACTCCTCGAGCTTAGCCAGGCTGCTGTTGTGGATGGTCAAGTGGCGTATGTCCAGCCCGAGGAACACGTACGGTTGTAGTTTAGGGAGGATGTTGTGCCTGAGCCTCAGGTAAAATATGACCGTCTCTGGCCTCCCTTTGAGGGAGCTCATCACCTTCGATATGTGGCTCAGGTCGGTGTACTCGCAGACGATGTCCAGACCGGATTTCTTCAGAGTGCAGGAACAGGGCGAGATCTGACCGTGCATGGGACACGACTGCGACGTTTGCGCTAGACTTAGCCCAGTTATCAGACTCACTGTCCACACCAGCGCCCATAAGCTGTTCTCCTTCATCTTCCTTCGACCGGTGTCCGTCTCCCCGTTTGTTAAACTTTTATTGCTCTGTCCGAAAACGAAAGGAGGAAGGAAGGAAGCAAGGAAGGAAGGAAGCTCTCTCGTATTATCGTTTTATCCTCTTTTTTCCTCTTGTTAATGACTCTTCCTTCTCTCCTGTTGCCCTCTTCGTTCCTGTGCCTGCAGCCTGCTACTTAGCCTCTGCTCTTCTCATAGCCATTGCTCGCTCTTCTGCGGTGCACCGGTACACCGAGTCTGCAAACAAACCACAACAAGTGGTCACGAATTTTCCTATGAATGGATCGATGAGAGTATATCAAAAGTTCCTATAGTTTCCATCACTTATGTTCGCTTCATTGATTCTAGCGCACAACTTTTGTGGTTGAAGCAGGAAGTAAGAACAAACTGAGATGACTGGTTTTCTATATTTATTTTATCGCAAATGCACCATTTCTATTTATGAACGAGGTTATCAGCGCTGACTTTGTAGCCTTCATCCCACTCCGTCCGTAGTTTAATTAAAGATAAAGCCTCCCGTCCACTCCGTGCTATCGCGAATAGAGTGTAACAATCTCGTTTCGACGTACCCAAAAAATGTACACCTCAAACACGATCGATGGAATATCTTTTATAGAAATATTCTGTATCTGTATTTATTATTCTACAGAATCTCTTTTAATAAGCAGGAAAATGTACATCGAGATGATCAGAGATATTAATAACAGATTTCTTTTAACACTAGANGAGGTGTGACTTTTTGACGAAAACGCAAATCAGAGGTGTGACTTTTTGACGAAAACGTACCTATCGTGTTAATAGACATTTTTTTGGGAACATCGAGCTTCATCGACATTTTGGGGTCAGGGGTTGAATCGGTAATGAAATTTGAGGTAGAACTGCCACAGTTTTGTTCTAATGACTGTCAAATCGAATACGAATGAAGAGCAACGGTTTTTATAGCTAAGATGAAAAAGCAATAGAACTGACAACCGAAAACGAAAACGCAAATCAGAGGTGTGACTTTTTGACTAGAACGCAAATCGGAGGTGTGACTTTTTTACGAAAACGCAAATCGGAGGTGTGACATTTTGACGAAAACGTACCGATCCATGTAGATCTTACGTCGGTTTCCTGCGTGGCTCCTGAAACACTTGCTGGGTAACTGCGGAGCGAAACAATGATAGTTGTACGCGTGATCACTGGTCATCGCTTATTGATGTCACTGCGTATGAAGAAACTTAGCCGGTCGGCTCGATTAATCCAGACCGGGAGTTTAACCGAGGAGGGAGCGTAATGACACACTTTTGCGAATCTGATGCAACACGGGTCTTTCGTTTTCATCGTTTTTCATCTCACGGTTATAAATACAATTATTATTATTATTATTATTATTATTATTATTATGTAGCCACGAACACTTTTATGCAACGTCCGATTGGTACAATTGGCACTTGCTTCGTTTTGCACAAACTGTATTAATATAAATCACTGAATTCAATATAAGCTGGGATTACTGGCAGCCTTTCTATGACGCGGTCTGTCCATTTCGGTTTCCTTCGTCTTCGAGTCGCTACGTTTGGTATTTCCCGCACGTATTCGATAAGCGCCGGTGCACCGTCCACGCCGATCGCATCGCCAATTTCTAGTGCCGGTCAAAGCCGACTAGACGCCAGACGAACCAATTAAAACTGCCAATCTAGGTGATCCAATTATCCGGAAACTGGACACTTGAGAAAATTAGTCGAACCAAGATTATGACCGGTTTCAGTTCAGTACGGCCGAGACTCCATCGTGCTCAGGGATCGAATCGTAGCACTAATTCCCTTATTCGACTTTATACTGGATGAATTATTTGTTGAAGACTGTCGCGGACTGGTTGAATGACAGGCGCCTCGCGACCGGCTGACAAAGCAAAGCTGCCGTCAGTGCCGGCCTCTGCTCGGTACCGCGAGCTGACCTGAGTGTCCGTTGGCATCATCATTGCCCGGCTAATGGACGGCTTCCGTCCAGGGGATCATGGGATGCGAGTAACGTGAGCCACGTCATCGGTGATCTCGCGACAATTCCGGGCCTCTCACCGCAGAGCCTATCGATCCACGGAATTCAAGGGACATCATTCATAGACGAAGAATCATTTCTGGCAACGATTAATATTAAAAACCAGCAACGATAAGGGCGACGAACTTGGGTACGAGTGAAGGTTTTCGCTCGTGTTGAGGCTCGTTCACTTTTATCGAGACCACCTAATTTTCCGAGCCCGCCTAATTTTCGTCACGAACCACGTCGCGTAATTTTTTCCTGCTTTACATAAAATAACCGCTTTGAAAATTTCCCCGGCTCGGGTAACCAAAAAGGCGAAAGGGGAGAAAAGGGAAACGACACAAAGGCGAGTCACCGCAGAGAGTAGGAAAAACCACGGTTTTACCCCCTCCCTCTTACTCTTCCTGTTCGTTCATTCTTTTGTTCGTTGTAATTGCAATCGATTCCTCCGAGTCGCATTATCATGCGCATCGCTCCTTGTGGATAATCTAATTCGTTGGCAGGGGGAAGTGGAAAATATAATTCGACGGGGATTTTAGAAAAAGCTTTTACCCATCCCGATTCCACTGCGTCTGCTTTGGATCAAAGGACGTTGCCTTAAGGATGTACTATGTACTTAAATGATACCAGCATATCGAATTTGTTATTATAGATTGCTATTACTATTAAAAAACTACCTGTAAAATTTTAAATCAATTCATGGTTTTTTTTTTCAGAAATTATAGTGACTTATAGTGGCCTAACTAGATAAGTGCCCTTGAGTAGAATGAAGCGCCGCTTAAGCTATTTGATAGGTTATCAAAAAAGAAACATTCACTCCAATTTTTAGCCCTGTATCTCAACCAGGGGGGTAGTAATCGGGAAAATTCGAAAAATCAGTTTTTTTTAGATTTTTCCTTATTTAACGTCTTGCGAAAAATCTGAGAAAATTCTGACATGTTCTTAGTATAGCTGGACATGTCTGAGAATTTTTTCAGATTTTTCCATTGCGAAATGTAGCCGTGAAAAATAAAAGAGTTCTAAAAATAATTATTTCACATAGAAATCTTGGGTTCACTAGATTTATATTTTTATGATAAATTTGTATTGTCGTAAGGATTGTTCATGAATTTTTTCAGATTTTTAGGATTGTCAATGTGAAAAAAATGAAATACATATGTCTCTCAATAGACATAGCTAACTGTCATGACGACGCGAAGCCAGTTTTTGCAGTTTTTGATCATTCTGCGCACGGCTTCGTCTAATTCTACTGTTCGCCACGAGAGGTCAAGGTAAATATGTCAATTTCCAATGATTATTGTTCTTCTGACGTCTGATTTCTTTTTAATTATAGGAAATGCGTTTTTTTAAGGTACATTTTAGGATTGACTATATAGTCAATATGTTCTTAATTATAACTACGATTCATGTACCAACGTCTTACTTAAATATAAAACGTGAGCATAAAAAAAATCCTCGAATATTGTGCGACTCCATCTGTCGGACGTTAAAAAAGCAGTGACAGTGTTTTTAAGCAGTTTCGGTCTCTCGTCCCGGACTAATTTTCATTCTTCTTTCATGCTCCTTTCTCCTCTCGGTTTTTATTCCTTTCTAGTTATTAATACTAATTAGGGTCAGGCTTTATTGCCGCGTTTCCCATTCTCTAGCATTCGTTACCCGCGGAATGCTAATTTTTCTTCCTCGCTTAACGTACATCCCCTTTTGTTTAGTAAACATTCCACGGGAACGTTTTTATAATTATCCGAGAATTTGTCCCGCGCGGAAGTCCCCGAATGAAATTAAAAAAAGTGGGGAGGAAAACCGCCGGGGAGCGAGTCTGTTGGTTCTCGAAAATATGTCTAACAAGATGGAAGCGTCTCTAAAATGTCTTAACGAATTCTATGGGAGGGAAGTAGGCTCGTTAGAAAGTTCGCGCAAACATATTCGGCAAACTTGCCGCTTACTTCAAGACCATAATGATCTCTGTGTGTCGCATAAACTTGCTCGAGACTTTCCTCCTATACGAATAATATATATATTTGTATGTACCAGCGTCGAGTACGTTAAACTCGGCGACCCAATTCCAAACTATGGAGCCACGGCGTCGTCGTCGTCTACGCTCACGCCGTGTTACCTCGCCGAAATTATGGTAACCCTGACTTTCGTCTACTTTGATGCTTTAGTCGCGACATGAAACATTTATGGAAGGCTGCTTCCTTGCGCGGATACAAAATGGGTAAACGGAGTTCTTAGTAAAGCGAGGACATGGCGCTTTTTTCCTATTGTATCACAGAATCATTATTAGGTTAGGTTAGGTTAGGTTAGGAAATATTAGGTTATGTAATAAATTCGTGCCTTTTTTGTATTTTATTTTTTCATGCCAGTTCTGTATTTTATTTTTTGCCGCCAATTTTGTATTTTATTTTTTCCCGCCAATTTTGTATTTTGTTGGGTAAAGTGTATAGTATATGCATTCGCAAGTCCCTTTTTTTCTATGGAAACTAATCTGCTTCAATTTTACGGATTAATTAATTTTAACCCATTTTCCTTTTCCTTTTTCCTTCTGAAATGGAAATTCCAGGACGTAACAAAATAGTTGTAACATTTTTTTTATTGAATTGTGAGTAACTTGCAACTTTCCATATTATCGACAAGCTTTATAATTCTTATTTTTGCTTATTTTTTATTATCTATCTTAAATAATATTAGGTATT